ACAATCACCATCACCGACATCATCCCTGTGCTGCTCCCCCCTCCTTATTCTGCTACTGTAGAGCCGTAACCGAACTGCCAAACTTGGATGCAATCACTGCGCGGGCGTGCACGCTTGCTTCAGGAGGTGGATATCCGCTATGACATCGTGCCAGCGGCACGCTGGGGACTGAGTGTCTGGTCTGGTGGGGCGTCTGAATGCGCGTGTTCCTCATTCCCACCAGCCCTTTAGGGCATGATTGGTTTAGAGCGCGTCTTCGTCCAACCCATCTTATCTCCCTTCGGAGACGGGGCAACCCGTCCCCTAACCCCCATACCCCTAGGTTTGCAGGGAGCCCTTTGCGAGGGGTTGGAGCGTTCAAGATGGCCTTGGCAGGGAAGCCCAAATCATTGATGTTACAAAAAATCTGTTGGCAACATTCTGGCATCCTGGGGGAGGCTCTGATTGCGGAGCGCGCTTCCTTTGATCGAGCTCCTCCGAGATTGCCCAAAGATGGTCCCCAAGGCTACCAAGGGTGCCCCAAGAGGTACCCAGGAGGCCCCAAGAGGCCCCCAAGGGGTTCCCAAGATGTCGCCAAGAGGCTCCAAAGAGACCCCCGAGGCGCCTCAAGAGCCCCCCCAAAGGCACCCAAGGCGCCCCAAGAGGCATCGGCGAGAAGGCCAGCATGATTTAGTTGATCAAGGTTTCGACACATGTTGGCGTCCGGAGGTGGCGGGGCGCGAAAAAAAAAAACGAGAGGGCGAGGTCGGGGGCAACGTAGGGAGTGGGGGGAGGGCCCGCGCCAGGGAGAGAAAAAATATACGCAGAAGGGACAGCCAGGACGCCTCACCAACCACGAGGACGACGGTGAGGGCTTTTTCCAGATTCGCCCAGAGGATTCTCATGCGGGGTCCTTCCGTCGGAGTAATCGTTCCTGTTCCCCCCCACTCCTCCTAGTCCACATCTTGTATTGAAGTCAACGACTGTTTGCGTCAATGTCTAACTTTCTCTCCTGAGCAACGCCGCCGCCGAACATGGCCGCGGCGACGCCGGTCCTCGCGAAGCAGGTCCTGCTGGCGTCCGCCAGGGGGGCCGCGGTCGTCGCCTCGTCGGCGCGCCGGCGGCGACGGCGGACGAGGACGGAGGAGGCGACGACGGCCACGACGACGACGACGGTGACGATCGGCGCCAGTGGCGACGGCGATAGCAGACGACGGCGGCGGAGACGGCGACGACGGCGAAGGCGCTAATAGAGACGACAACAACGACGGCGGCGGCGACGACGACGACAACGGAAGACGACGGCAGCGGCGACAACAATGGTAGCGGCCACGACGACGACGCAAGCGGCTAAGGTGGCAGTCAGGACGGCAGCGGCAGCAGGCCGGCCGGGGCGTGGGTGGGACGCGCCTCGAAGGGAGGCCCGAGCCTGACCTCCCAGGAGGGCTAAAAAAAACGGCACCAGGACGTCGACGTCCTAATTCCTGTCGAGGTCTGGGGCCGTCCAGGCAGATCTGGTTAGGTCTGGAGTGCTACAGTCGGAGCGTTGACCCAAGGAACCCGAAATAAGGAACGAGGCCCCTTTCATCCACAAATTGAACTTCGATTTCCCATCGAAAACCAGAAGAAAAAAACCCAAGGCAGACCGTGAAGCAATCAAGGAGCACGGAGCCCCTCCCCAACGAGAAGGGTTCCTTCTTCAGGGCCCCGACTGTATTTTCTAGCACTCTGGAAGGTCCGGGGGGGAGGCGACCCACGGGGCCGCGGTCGTGCCGCCCGCTCGGGCGCCCACCCTCCGGGCGTGCACAACTTCGGCCTCGTGCTCTCGAGGCTCCCAGGATGCCCCCCCCTCGGTGGCCCTCGCCGCCCGGGCGCCCAGTCCCTGTGCATTGAATTCGGCTTCGCGCGTGCTCGTTTGGCTCGGAGGCTCCCAGGATGCTCCTCGACGGTCCTCGCCGGAAAAGAAAGAACAAATCAACAATATATATATATATATATATATACACATATATATATATACACATATATATATGCCCGGTGGCGGCGGCACTGGCAGGTGGCGGCGGCACTGGCACAGGTGCCAGCGATGCCAGGTGGCGGCGGCACTGGCACAAGGTCCTCCTCGGAGCGGCGGCGAAGCAGCGGCGAGGCGGAAGCGGCGAGGCGCCGGCGAGGCGCCGGCGATGGGGAAACCAAAAGGCTCCGATACCGCTGCACGCTGGACCTCTCCCGGGGCGCCTTCGGCCCAGGATCTCGAGGCGACTCCGGCGGTGGCGACGAGGGCCTCCCAGGAGGCCAAACGAGGGGAGAGCGGGCGAAGGGTGGAGGAAAAGGAGCCCCTGATTCCTTCTCTGAGGGGCGGCGGCGGCGAGGCGGCGGCGGGGCGGCGGCGGGGCGGCGGCGGAGTGGAGCGGCGGGGTGAGGCGGCGCGGCGCGGGCGGCCTCGCGCCCTCGGCGGCTCCTCCCGCGCGGGCGCCGCCCGGGGCTCGTCGCGGAGGGGGCTGCGGCGCCGCGGCTCGTCGAGGCGCCGGGGGTCCTGGCGCAGGCCCCGCCCCCGGAAAGGGGGCCCAGGGACACACGAAGAAGCAGGCACGAGCCCCAGGACGTCCCAGCTTTCCGCGAGCGAAGCGCGGTATGAAATAAACTTTCCGCCGTCGGGGACATCTGCCCGTGGGCGGCTGGAAAGTTTATACCCCTACGGTGCCACCGTAAGGGTATAAACTTTCCAGCCGCCCAGGGGCAGGCGCCCCCGACGGCGAAAAAGTTTATTTTATACCGTTATTCGCCCGTTAAATCTTGTCGCATGTGTTCTGGGCTGTCGTCTCCACCCCCCATTTCCTATATATGTCTGCCCCTCTTCCCTGTGGATCGAGCACGAACTGTGTCTGTGTGGGTGTTGTCCCTCCTGACGTCTCCCCGTGCGCCCCGGGAGCTGGGCGCCGCAGGAGGCCGTCTCGTGCACACTCTCTGGCCGAGCACCCCAGACGAACCCAGACCCTCTCGCGATGAGAAAAAGTCCTCCTCCTCCTCCTCCTCCTCCTCCTCGCCCAACCCCCAAACCTCCGCCCTCATCCCCCAGACCTCGTCGCGCTGTGAAGCCATCACAACGGGATGTGCTCGCTGTTTTCAGCCTCGGGGTGCCCTCGCCGGGCCTCGGGACCGGGAACAAAAAAAGACGACTCGGGATGCAAAGCCGGTCCCCAGGAAGGGGTCCAGGCTCCTGGGGGTCACGGCACGAAAAAGTCACGACGCTCGGTGTCTGGCGACGAAGCCAGGACGAGGATAGAAGTGGGTGAGGGTAAATCTTAGGCGGCGATGAATGAAGGAGCGATCAATGGGGGGGGCAGCAAGGGCTGCAGAAAGGGGGCCCTGCAGGGCCCCTCAAGGCAAGGAGGCCTGAGGGGCCCCAGAAGGGCACAGGGCCCTTCTCTTCCCCCCCCCATGTGTCGCCCCCCCATGCATGAGGTCCGGCGGCTCTGGCGCATGCCTCGGGCGCCGCGGCCCTCTCAGAGCGTCCTGGGACGCTCTGAGAGCGTTGCGGAACGCTCTGGAACGGATTTGTATCCTCGCCCTCGCCCGTCCCAATAGACTGACCTTGGGCAGTCCGCTCGTCCTCGCTCGTCCTCGTCCTCGCTGACCTTGGCCCGCCTCGTCCTCGCTCGTCCTCGCCCGCTCGCCCGTCGGCTTGGGCAGCACCGCGCATGCCCGCTCGCACCAGCGAGACGCGCGCGCCCGTCGGACCTGCGCAGCCGACAAAGTGCAGGTGCTCCGCGGGGGGGAAGGGAGGGGGAGGGCGGGCCCGACGACACGGATCGGGGAGACGTAGGACCTGGGTACAGGGGACTCGGAAATCCCCGACGAGGTCGTCAAAAAAATGACGAGGCCGAGCCTGCATTTTGACGAGGCCTCCCGCTGCAGACATCCCACGAAACTCCTCCTCGTCAAAATCCGAGGCGCGCTCGTCAAAAAACGATGGTGAACCCGAGTCCTGGCAAACCCGGGTCTTACGCTCCCCCGAACGGAACACCCCCGGACCTTAACATTGAGAAAACAAGAAACGGCCTCCGGTTCGTTCCCCACGGGCGGCTGTCGCCCGGGGTCGGGCCCCGGAGATATGTCACGGATCGCTCTGGCCCGAGGGAAATCCGCAGAGACACGGGGTCTATATATGGCTCGGGATTGGTTGGATAGGACACGCGATAGGACGCAAGACCCTTCCGAGGGCCACATTGCCATAGGAATGCAGGAGGCACGGGTCGCGACACACAGGGCACAAGGGTACCCTTGATTGGCAGGGTCGACCTACTAATCGACCTCGACTGTAGGGCTCGGGTCGTGATTGTCCGCGACGTCGCACTGCTCTCGCAACGCCGGATCAAAAGGTGATGGTGGGGGGGTCCGGGGACGGCGTGCGCTCCAGAGACCCGTCGAGGCTCCAGCCGGGGAGGGGGAGGAAGGCTTTTGGGACTCTGTCGACAGATGTTGGGCACTCCTGGCCCGTCAGAGGCCGCTGGGGGCGAGGGGTTGGAGGAGGAGGAAGAGGAGAAGTGGCAGGAGGCAGGGGAGGAGCAGGAGGAGGAGCCATGCACCACGCCCACTGGAACCCCAAAGCGGCAGACTCTCCAAAACCTGATCGGACAAGAGCGGGAAGCGCCGATCTTGCCGGTTTGGTCTCGTGGGGAAAAAAGAGAAGGATGATGGCGACGACAAGGCGGTGGATGACGAGGATGACAGCGTGGATGACGGGGAGGACAGCGAGGGGAGCACGAGGACGAGGAGGAAGAGATGAAAGAGGACACGTACGAGGAGGAAACGAAGCGGGACCCCCCCGCTCAAAACATATGGTGAATCTCGTGAGCTGTCAGGTGTTCGTGGGGCCCTGCAAGGGAACATGTTGGGAGCCTCTTGGAGGCGTCTGTAACCCTCTTGGACTGTCTGGGCACGTCTCGAGAGTCTGTAGGGGCTCTCTTGGGGTGTCTTGGTGCTCTCTTGGACTGTCTTCGGGCTCTGTTGGACAATCCCGGGGCGTCTTCGGGCGCCCTTGGGGCCCCCTGTGCGGTTCTTGGGGGCCTCTTGGGGGTCTCGTGGGGCGCTTTGGGGGTCCTCCTCTTCCTCCTCCTCCTCCTCCTCCTCCTCCTCCTCCTCCTCCTCCTCCTCCTCCTCCTCCTCCTCCTCCTCCTCCTCCGCCACCGCCTCCGCCTCCGCCCCCGCCTCCCGCTCCGCCCCCGCCCCGCCTCCTCCTCCTCCTCCTCCCCTCCTCCTCCTCCTCCTCCTCCTCCTCCCTCCTCATCCCGCTTTCCCCTCCTCCCCACTCCTCCTCCCACTCCTCCTCCTCCTCCTCCTCCTCCTCCTCCTCCTCCTCCTCTCCTCCTCCTCCTCCTCCTCCCCTCTCCTCCTCCCACTCCTCCTCCTCCTCCTCCTCCTCCTCCTTTCTCCTCCTCCTCCTCCTCCGCCTCCTCCTCCTCCTCGTCTTATATTATTTTTCTTATTATTATTTTTTGTCTTTTTCTTCTTCTTCTTCTTGATCTTCCTCCTCCTCCTCCTCCTCCTCCTCCTCCTCCTCCTCCTCCTCCTCCCTCTCGTCCTCCTCCCTCCTCGCGCCTCCCCGGGGAGCAGGAAGCCGCCGCCCGCCGGTGCGTCGATCCACAGCCACGGCGTCTTGGACTCTTCTGGGGAGGGGCGCCACAGGGCCAAGGCGCAGTGGACATGCACAAGGCTCTAGAGGCCAGATGCTCATCCATAGCCACTAGGCCTCGGGTCTGGTGAAGGGGCTCCACACCCCAAGATGCAGTAGATGTATACACATCCTGCCCGCAAAATCAGGCTGCATCGGCAAGGCATCGGAACTTGATCGGAACGACCGCGCAATGCACGCTGTGCATGCACCAGGTGGCCGCAGGGGGGCCGCTGGAGGGTCGAAGAATCAGATTTCACTGGGACGGCGGGCACCGCTGTCGAATTGCATCGGTCGGATCGGTTGTCGAATCGCGCCCCCAGACCCCGGCGTCGTGCTTTTTGGGCAACCTAACCCACAGTGGAACCTGGACCCCTTCCCAGGGACCGGCTCTCCATCCCAAGTCGGACCAATTGCCGATCCCGAGGCCCAGCGAGGGCCCCTGGAGGCCGAAAGCATGGCGCGAAGACCCTCCCGCCACGAGTGCTTCTCGCCGCGGGGGGGCCCGGGTCGGTCCCGCGCGGGCCCCCCGGCCGGGCGCTGCCCCCGCGCCCCCCCCGCGCGTCCAGGCTCCGGAGGAGCTCCTCGCGCATGGACCGTTCCTCGTGCAGCCCGCGCGAGTCCTGGCCGGCACGCACCGCCGCGGCGCCGGAGCCGAGGCGCAGGGCACCAGGGGAGCCCCATTTACCCTGACCTTCCAGGAGGGCTAAAAAATAGCACCAGGGCGTCGACGCCCTGATTCCTGTCGAGGTTTGAGGCAGTCCAGAAAGATCTATAGGTCCGAAGTGTTATGTTTTAAGCATTCTGGAAGGTCCGGGTCCTCGACCCCCTCGCCCAACCCTATCGCCCCCGCGTCGCCCCTTCGTCTTCCCTCCTCGCCTCCCCCTCGTCCCCGCCCCTTCCTCGCCCCTCTCTCGCCAACCTTCGCTCGCTGCCGCTCGCCCATCCCCCCCACTCACGGGCCCGAAAACGCTCGCTCCTCTGACCTTCCAGAGTGCTACAAAATAACACCCCAAACCTATGGATCTATCTGGCCTGCCTCAGACCCCGACCGGAATGAGGACGCCGACGTCCTGGTGTTATTTTGTGGCCCTCATGGAAGGTCAGGGGATCCTCCCCCTCCCCCCTCCCCCACGGCCCTCGCCACCTTGCAGGAGGCACTCGTGGCCTCCTGTAAGGGGGGCCCCACTGGCGCCCAGAGGCCCCCGCGCGTCGTGCCCCCAAAAAACATCACGGCGGGAGGCTCTCGACCTGCTCTGTGGTCGGCCCCTGGGGGCGCCCCTGCAGCGGGGCCGTCGAGAAGGCCTCGGGATGGCAGGCCAGCCCCCGGCGAGGGGTCCCGACCTCGTGGGGGTCCACGCCGGGCAAGGATCACGACGTCGGGGATCTGGGGGCAGGTGGGGTCCTCCGGGCGATGCCTCGGCGATGCCTCGGCGCCGTCGGCGTCGAGAGAAAAGCGGACTCCGCAATTGAGCCGCATCGCCGACGCATCGGCGAATTCGGGTGTGCACGATGTCCCGCGAGAGAGCCCGAAACGACGTACACCACCGCCACCTCCACCACCCCTGACCAATAAGGGGCGGAGGAGGAGGAGGAGGAGGAGAAGGAGGGGGAGGAGGAGGAGGAGGAGGAGGAGGAGGAGGAGGAGACCCGATCCCAACTGGCAGGTCATCCGAGGCGCCCGCACCCGACAGAAGCCCTATCGCCGCGCCAGAGAACGCGCCCTGGCATCCCTTCGGCAAATAAGGCGGAGTCGGCCTGCTGCAAGCCGAATGGCTCGAGAAGCGCTTTGGACCCCCTCAGATCTAAGCTTATTAAACGTGTTTAATAATACATCGCGTGCGATGGCAATGGAGATCGCTTCTTCGCACGAGAGAGGCAAAGGAAAAAGTAGGAGCCCAGCAAACACCTCCGCCCCCCACCTAGGTGGGAGCCTAGGCAGATTAGCGCGCATCACTTCGAGGAGAACAGGACTGACAAGATAGTGAACGAGCTGGTCGCCAGCAATACATTGGCATCCGAACCTGCACCCCAGGGTGGCCTGGCGGTATCTCCGCGAGGCATTCCAAGCATTGCATATACTGCGCAACAGACTGAGTTGAACAAATGGAGCAATATGCTGACCAATCAGTTTTAGCCGAGAGAAGCACAGCTGAGCTTCAGGAGCCCCAACTTGGCCAGCTTCAGGAAACCTCGAGACCCAATACTGCAGACGCCTCAGAATAAGCTCAGGAAACGGAACCAGGGGATGGTGAGAGAGAACAAGTTTGGTCATTTTCTTCTGAAGCCCATGCTCGAAGACGGTGGGGGCGGACGGAATTCTGGATAACTCGCGATAGTTCTGGGTCATCAGTAACACGAAAGACTTGGTATAAACTGGATGAAGATGGGCATCCAGGTGGCATTCGGGGTCCTCGAACGCGTCCTCAATTTTCTCGATGCACGCGAAAAAGACCGAAGAGGCGAGCGTGGCACGATACGCGGCGGCACGAGCTTCGTGCGTGAGAGACCTGGCCCGAGATAACTTTCCCCCGAGTGCCTTCATTCCCGCCAGCATGTGATCAGATAGGGCGTGCCGAGGAGCGCATGTTAACGATTGCAGACCGAGATGCACTTGCCAGCAACAGTCGGCCGCAGGCGGAAAGAACTGGGTGATGTGCGTGAGCACAGCGACCGCTCTGGTTGCACGCCACTAGAGACATCGACAGGCCTAGCTTCAAGGACTTAATGAAGCGGCAGCGGTCTCGGAACTTGACCAGCGGGGCGGCCCGAGACTCCTCTTGGGATCTTATCCCGCACATAACTCCAAGATACTTGGCGCACTTGGCCATCCCGAAGCTACGAACCCTGATCCCCTGCTGCTGGAACTTCCTCTCCTCCTCCTCCCTGTTAAAGCCGCAGTAAAATAGGACCACCGTTTATGTGGTTCGGGAAGAGGCCAGCGGCGAGCCCTGCGAGCATCATAATTTTCATGAAAATAAGCACGGCCGCGTAGATGCCAATGGCGGCGGAGGCAACATCATCAGCGAAGGCGCCGTGCAAGTGGACAGGTCGGGGCAGCCGAAGACAGAGCAGACGTAAAATCGGATCGAACCCCAGGGCGAACACGCTTCCCGAGAGCGGACAACCTTGCTTAATCCCGCGGAGGATACGAAGAGAGCAATGAGACACCCCGCCCAGGAGAATGGTGGTTGTCACCTTGGCGTAGAGCGCCTTTATCGCATTCAGCACAAACTCGGGGAAGTTCATTTTCTCGAATACAAAAAAGATCCAATCGTGGCATAAGCTGGGGAAGGCGGCCTTAATGTCCATCAGGATCGCGCCTGCTGGCCGTCGCCGCAGTAGGCCTGCTCCTACGACCACGTGCGTCTCAAACTCAATCAGGTTGTCTAACGGGTCACGGCGTTTGACGAAGCCCCTTTGGGCCCCAATGGCGGCGTCCACGCAAACCTCTTCCAGGCGGAAATTGATCGCGACAACGACAATTTTGCTGATCGAGTTGGAGAGGGAGATAGGACGGGCCATTTCGGGGGCCCCCCAGAGCTCGAGCCCGTCGCGGCCCAGGGAGCCTTTGGGAAGGAAGACCGAATTACTGAGGTTGAAATCGTGCGAAACCTGGCCGAAATCCAAGATATGCTGGCACATGGCGAAGGCGGCCCACCTAACGAATAAATTGCCCTTGGACCAGGCAGAGTAACATAACCCGTCAGGACCAGGGGCGGGATCGCGAAGCCGATCTAAAACAACGTAAAACTGCTCTTCGGAAAGCCTCCAAATCTGGGCCTCTCGAACTTTCTGAATATGTTCCTCTAGCTGGTCCACCGCGGCAGTCTGAAATGAAACAGACGCGTGAACTTGGCTCCAGTGAGCGGCGCGAGCATGAGCCCCAGCCTCGACAGTCGGGAAAGCGTTTCCGTCGGCATCCGCGATGCCCGTGAGGAAGATTCTCCGGTTCTTCGGAGACCAGGCCGATGCCAATCTCTGAAGACGCGCAGCTCGGCGTTCATAAAACTGGGGGGATTCCGTGGTGTACCCGATGATTTCCTCATATTATTTTTGGTACCGAGCGGCAGCAACCTTGGCCATATACTCTTGAAAGGCGAGCTGGCTGCGCCACCTGCCACTGTCAGGGTCGAGAAAGTTGAGCAGCACGGGGATGGCCTTGACAGCCTTCTTCAGCGAGCTTATCTTGCGGCCCCGCATGGCGCGATTCACCGCGAACAGCCACTGCAGATGCTGCTCGGCGGAGCTGGGCGGAAGCTCAGAAAGGCGATGCTACACGAGACGGCCTGCTTCGTGCATCAGACAAGTGAGCTCTTCAATCATCAGCGGGGGATTATCTTCGCGCACCCCGTGCTCGTTGATCAGCTTTCCGAGCAGGATCGGATGCAGAGGGTGGCGAGAGACCCACGACGCAACGGCCCGAGCGCGGTTGTCTCCACCTCCGTTCAGACGCAGGTCCACCGGCGCGTGGTCGCTCGGGAAGTCGGCTTTACAGATATTCCAGGAGGTCCCAGAGGTCGGCTTCAAATCCAGGAGGTCCCCAGTGAACATGTTGGTGTAAATACGGTCGATCCTGGACACGCTAACCACATTCCCATTCCGAGTGGCGTGGTGGGTCGGATTCTCTTGGTAACCTTCCATAACATTAGGCAATAAAGACCAGAACTTGTGAGCGAGGGAGTCAGGGCTGATGATCTGCACAGAGCCGTCTACTCGCTGGGTGCCCTCGCCAGCTCGCAAAAGTTGAAGTCCCCAACAAAGAAGAAGAGGCCCTGGGCAGCATGCAAAAAGTCGGCGCACATGCAGTGGATTATGGATCTCTCTCTGCGGCGGCTACCCGGGTCGAGGTGGAGGTTCAGGACGGTAAGCGAGAAAGAATCAGACTGAATAGTGACAGCATGGAGACGACCAGGAATAACCACAGCATGGTGATGTTGAGGAAGCAGAGCGAGAAGAGAGCGAGCGAGCATAATCGTGTTCCCGCCAGCGTGGCTGTCGGGACAGAACGTACAGAAGGATTCAAAGCCAGGGAACTCGGTACGCAAAGACTCTCGACCCCCTTCATGGCCGTGCGTTTCTTGTAAGCAAATGATATTGTTTGCTCTAGTTAGGTTAGTGAGTCGGTCGAAGGTCTTGACCTGAGCGTCGTGGTCCCCAGAGACCGCGCCGAACAGGGTATGACAGTTCCAGGTAGCAATCCGAATACCTCGGCCATTGGCCAGGGACGGCGGAAAAGAGAAGCGAGAACCCGCTGGGTCCTCAGGCGAAGGCGGCTGGGCCCCAAACCCAGCATTCGACAGAACAGGTGAGCAACAGGCAGAGGACGCGGAGGCAGCGGGGGGAGAAGCGGGCGGCAGAGGCAGCGAAGAAGCGGGAAAATACGAAAAACTTGCACACGATACTAGGCTGGCGTCACTTCAGTACTGCTGGACGGAGGCCTGGGCCTGCTCGATCACCCAGTTGGCGGTCGTCTCGGGGATGCGCCATTCGGAGAGCTTGTCGCTGATCGGTTTCAGCTCGCACATGCCTCCAGGAGCGTCGGATAACTTGAAGATATCCCAGTGGTCGTCCTCGGTGGTGATGCTGAACGCGCCTTTGAACGGGTTGGTGCCGATCTTGACCGTCGGACTCCACTTGCCTGCGTTCCCCAGGTGCTTGCGGACGAGCGGCCAGAGAGCACTCAGGACGCGGTTCTTCTGGCGGGCCTGCAACGGCATGTCTCTGCGGCAACGAAGTGGGTGAAGGGAGGTGTTGCGGTAGTCCTGCGACGTCACGGGATTCGCATGGAAGTCGCGGGCCTTTTGCTCGGAGTTGAAGGTGATGGCGAACGCCTGCGAGACTTTGTGGAAGTGTCCTGCCATCCCTTCGCGAATGGTGGCAGGAAGTCTGCAGTCTGCCTTTCATCTGGTTGAAGACGGTGCGCCTGTACGGCTCGGTGACTGGGCGAGGAAAACCACTGATCCAGCGTCTGGTCGGGTCGATATGGTTGTGCTCGTCGCTGGCGAGGTCGATCACGGGAATCTCGGACGAGCTGGAGCCAACGCTGGCGCCCATTCCCAGGCGGCGGGACTTGGGCGGCGGACGTGTCGAAGCGGAGCCTGCATCAGACTGGGCACGCTGAAGTTCAGCAAGGGACGCCTCGAGCCTGGCCATTTTCTCGTTCGTCTGGCGCTGAATCTCGAGCCCTGCATTTTTGGCGGTGGGGTTGCCGTCCTCGGTGTCGAAGAAGGCTGCGTTGGTGGCGGCTTCTTGATGAGCATGTTCGAGTCGAGAAACTCGTAGATCCATGTCGAGAACTAGCGCTTCATGTGCGGCCTTGGCCTCGTCGAACCTGCCCTCCATTGCGACCTCGAGATCCCAAAAATTCTCCTCGAGTCCTTCTGCTACGGCGAGCCGTTCTTTGACATCCTTGACGTCCTCCCTCATGGCGTTCATGCCGCCATTCATACCTTCGAGCACCTGAAGCAGCTGAGCATTGGATACTTTTGCGGCGGCCATTGCACTGCCAGTGAGCGAGACAGGAGTGGTGCACGTGAAGAATAAACAGGTTGGCAAAATGCCTCACTGAGCGAAAAGGGTCAACCCCCGACCCTTGTGTCGCGGGCCGAGTCGGGAGCAGCCCTGCTCTGACCTGGCCAGCTGCCTTGAGGAGATGGCAACTTGAGCCAAAATGGCTACGGAGGAGGAGGAGGAGGCGGATCCACAGGATGGTGGTGGTGGTGCATTTCCTTCTCCCGAAGTGGGGCGGCGGGTGCGGATGGCGCTGCCGCGGCCGCGGCGGCGGACGAGTTGCCCATGCCACCACCACTCCGCGGGGGTCGCCCAGGGGCGGCGACTCTCTCCCCGGAGCGGTCGGCATATGGACATGTCCTGGCGGTGGCTCGGGCGGAGGAGGAGGAGGAGGAGGAGGAGGAAGAGGAGGAGGAGGAGGAGGACGAGGGCGCCACTGCCCTTGCTGCACTTGTTGCGCTCGTGTGTCCTGGGCTCATGGAATTATTCTGCGTCTGGGTGTCCTCCGCCATATCCTGCCATTCGCGGCCGCCCCGTCTGTCTAGCTCCCCCCTCTTGCACGCCAGCCAATTCGCGTATCGGTTGACTGGGGTCGCCGCTCGCTGGTGCAGTTCTGCCTCGCCGCTGACGTAAGTTTGTCCTGGGCTAAGACGAGGACCGAGAAAGTGCAAACATGTGGACCCCCCATGCGGCAGCTGCCCTTGGCACTCTGGAGACGGGCGTGCCATGAGGGGACCTTTGCAGACTGCTCGAAAGCTTCAGGCGGCTCTCAGCCCAGAGAAAAGGGACCCAGCACTGGTAATGAAAAATAACTCCTTGCCCAACAAAAGTCAGCGACCTGCATCCTTCTGCCCGAACCTCCCCGGACCACTTCGCGTCGTCAAAGCATCACGGCGGAGGGTTTCTCACCATCCTCGGCCACCTGGGGACCATGGTCTGGCGCCGGGGCCGTCCAGAGACGACTCGAGAGGAAAAGCCGGCCCTCGGAAAAGGGGTCCAGACGCCTGCGTGGGTCCACGTCATGGATCGACTGTGGGCCGACGGAGAGATCCCTGCGGACTCCTTCGAGGCTTAACGACGTCTGCCGTCCCTCGACTCGCGCTGGAGCGGCCACGACTTGCTCAACATTCGCTGAAGATCTCTGGATCTGCCTGGATGTACCTCGATTCATCTGCCTTTACCTGGCTCTCCCTGGCTCGATCCCCACAAAAGTCGACAGGCGACGTGTCGTCGAGCCCGGAAGGAAGGGTCCTGGCCTCCTGCGAGGAGTGCGCCCAGCATACCCGTAACACCTTCCCTAGCCTGGCAGGGCCCGTCTTGGGCACACTCGTGCGAGCCGAGATGCACCGCCCGACCTGTTTCGCCATTCTCGGCGTCGGGGATCTGCTGACCTGGGTCAATTCAAACCCAGGTCAGTCAGGCTCTGCAGAATCCTGCAAGATCCTGCAGGATCCTGCAGGGTCCTGCAGGGTCCTGCACCCAAGCCCGGGTCAGTGCGCCCCTGGCTCTGCAGGATCCTGCAAGATCTGGCGCTGTGACTGACCCCCGTTCGCATTGACCCCCGTCTCTTGAGACCCGACTCGTCGGCGTCTGGGGGCTGCTCCTCCAGAACACTAACAAAATCGCCACGGGATGAAAAACTGGCACCCGTGGAAGGGTTCGAAAGCTCTGGCGGACGGCGGCTTCAAACATTCGAGTCGTCGAGTCGTCGGTCTGAGTAGCCACCAAGGGGTGCTACGCGGCTTGAGGCGAGGAGGAGAAGAAGAAACGAAGAGAACAGGGAGCACAACGACGAGCAGAAGGAGGAAGACGACGGGAAGGGGCAGGACGAGGAGCAGACAAAGAAGGGCCAGGAAGGCAGGGCAGGCAAGCATTTTGAATACCCCTCCTGTAGAGGGGCATGCCCGACTTAAGACAAGGAAGAGGGCAACAATGAGGAGAAGCAGCGGGAGCAGGAGGAGCAGCAGGGCAGCGACGATAGAGAGACGGCGACGAAGGAGCGGGAGGTGGAGGGGGACGAGGAGGACGAGGAGCACGCGAAGCACAACGTGCGGCGACGACGACGACGACGTGCGACGTGCGACGTGCGACGCGCAACGCCGACGACGACGACGACGACGACGACGACGACGACGAGAACGACGACGAGAACGACGACGCCGCCGCCGCCGCCGCCGCCGCCGACGACGACGACGACGATTACGTTCGAGAAAGACGCCGACGACCACGACGACGACGACGACGACGACGACGACGACGACCACGACGACGACGACGACGACGACCACGACGACGACGACGACGACGACGACGACGACGACGACGACGGGCCGCGACGACGGGCGGCGAGCCCGTCCTCGCGCGGTGCCTGCCTCGGCGGCTCCACGGCGTGGTCCTGGTGGCTGGCCTGCGGTTCATCCTCCCTCCTCTGCTCCTGCTCCTGCTCCTGCTCCTCCTTCTCCTCCTCCTCCTCCTCCTCCTCCTCCTCATCATCATCAGCCTTGCCACTCCTCCTCCTCCTCCTCCTCCTCCTCCTCCTCCTCCTCCTCCTCCTCCTCCTCCTCCTCCTCCTCCTCCTCATCCTCCTGCTCTGTTGCCCGAGGCGGCTCCCAAAGATGGGGCAGGGTCTTACAAAGTGGCCCGAAATGGCCCCCAGCACGCCTCCAGGAAGCCCCAAGACGGCCTGGAGACTGCTCGAAATGGCATCGGAGTTTCCCAACGAGAGGCCCGAAAAACAAATCGCTCAACAACCCAACATTGTCTTATGATGTTGGCCATCTCGCTGTTTCGCGTCCGATGGGTTTCTGGGGCCTCAAGATAACTCCAAGATCGCC